TACAGCCTTTTTCCTCTAATAATTCACTTACATCAATGCCAACATGTTTTGGGAAAACTACTGATAGACAGATGAGGAGATGCAACAAAATACATGAAAAATTCATTAGACGATCGACAGACAACCTTGGCACAGTTTTATGAATATGCTTTTATTTTACAACAAACACTATGCTCTCTCCATTTTCAACGACAGACAAGACAAAAGGCTTGATTATATAGTCAATTTTATGATGTATTGTAGCTTCAACGTCCATAGAAAGATAATCAATACGAGTGTATTTATGACACTAGTAGTATCGTAGGTGGATATTTTCCGATTTCTACAATAACATTTCTGGTAAATTGACTAAGCGTTTTCAACATTGATACTAATGTCCATAAATGAAAAAATACATGATAATGTTGGCCTACATTTACCAGACTGATCTTAGCGAATAACCATACTTGAACAAGCCAAGAAAATGTAGTTAAAATATATTTTACATTGAATTCAAAATATTTATTTAAAAAAATTACCAGTTTGTACTTTTTTTTCTTTTGATAAATAGCTTTAATTTTATTCTGTTTAAAAAATAATTGGTAGCAATTTTGTTTATTTTTAGTCTAGCTTATTGTGAAAATATAATGTTTGTATTTTGCAGTTTTGTTTGCATCTCTCTTCCTGTATGTTTTAATGGTTAATGCCAATCAATGTATTTTATTCTCAAATAGCATTATCTTATCTCCTACAAAATGACCATTCCATATATGTAACAGTATAGTTACAGGAATATAATGAATGTTTTACTTCCAAATTAAAACTTTTTGGGTACACAGAATTTATTTAAAACAAAATGCATAATTGCATTTTTGAATGCAAAATACTGGTGCAACCTTGTTCCAGACAATCCATTGGTGGCGCTGTTCCATTAGCATAGGATAGACACTGTTGCTTTCTAAATACCTCTAGTACATAATGAAACTCACCTCTCCCTTCCCCTCCATGTTTTTTGATATTTCCAATGCAACTGATTAATCAGAAAAATAAAACTAAATCATGCTGTGGTCTCTACTGTTTTCATCTGACCTGACCGATGTGCAATTACCACACTACTTTGTAGTTAAAATGTATAAAATGCCTGTTTTTATATTCATATCCTTTTTTAAATCTTCATTTTAACTGTTTTTATTGATATGCATAGATTGATTCAGGAATGCTTACATTACTTATATGCTTACATACTGTATTACGACTGTCATCACTATAAGCTGAGTCTTTCTGTATTTGCAAAGACATTTTCCAGTTTCATTATTGGACAATAAAGTAGAGATGAATAAAATAATAATTGTTTATTTATTTAAAATCTCACTCATAATAATATATAATATGTAAAGTCAAATAGTAATATTAAAAATATTTAAATAGTTTCGTCTGGTTTTGCTTATTATTTTCAGTAAGTTTACATCAATTGTGCTTGGTCTATTATCGATGTAACAGTTCTACAATTGCTTTACAATTTTTCCCAAACATCATGTTACCAGTAGTAATTTTCCAGACCTACTGAAAGTTAATATTAAATGCATTTCAAAAAGCATTCAATCATAATTTTTTGATTAATATCCAGTGACATCATCAATTTAAATGAAACCGATTAAATTCACATATGTTGTATGTAGGATGGGGTCACAGAAAAATCAATATGAATGTAATGGTCTGGGTATGATATTTGACACTGCATTTTCATAATTCTAATAAATGAATAACAATTATTTTTTTTAATTAACATCTAAAAGTATACTTCAATAAAATATTATATTATATTTAAGTAAAAAAATTATATTACACTGTAAGTGGAGTTGAATAGCTTGGTGGTTAAGATGCTTGCCTTCCAATCCCAGGGTCCTGGGTTCAATTCCTGTCACTGTTGCAGGATTTCTTTCTCATGAACAAAACAACTCCACTCCCTAAACCTCATATTGAGATTTAGTTTGTGTAAAGCATCATGTGTGTATGTTTGTCTTGTGAAAGGGAATGTCACCTACAAAGTAGGACAGTGATATATTCGCTATTGACAATCCTTGGTGCATGTGGTGTGTGCCTTAATAAATTTAATAAATAAAAAATATCAAATCTTTTTTGAAAAAACATTTTATAATATTACATATTATTTTTCTAAAATATTATTATTTTAAATGTATTTTTTTTTGGAAATTAATTTTCATCCTTTTAACATTTTTGTCAGATGAAAATGAAACATTGTATTGGGTTTTGGGTTTTTTTTTTAAGTGTTTGAAGATAAATAGATAAACAAATGTAAAAATTAGGTGATATTTAAGTATTCAGCCTTAGTTGAAGGTCAGATAAAAAAAATAGTTTGAAATATAGTGTAGTTTAGCACCTGAGGCTACTGAAAGATCCAAGAAAACATTATTATGATTAATGGCCTATTAAGTTTAGTATGATGCAAATATATATCTCAACACATAACCCACTCTTGTAAAAATATCATGTCATTATGTTTTTACCTTCCAGCCATCAGCGAGAATCGTGATCCCATTATTATTTAGGTATTCAATACAGAACACTGCTCACATGATATCGATACGATATATAACGGGAACACTATTTATTTAACAATATTTTGTGAGGGTGGTCCGTCCAGCCAGAGCTGATTAAATGAGACCCTCAGAACATACAAGACAATAAGATTTTTTTTTTTAAAGTTAGGATTATGAAGTATAATCCAAGTTTGAATTCACAAAAATATTATGATAGCAAATAGCAATCAAATCAATCAATCAACAGAATCAATCAATAACTTAAGATCAACTTCAAAGACAGATCAAAACAACTGAATTGTTAACTTTACTACAAAGATCCTTGATTACCAGTTTACTTAATCGTCTATGCAGATAATATAGAGTATAAAAATGTAATTAATATATTTATTGAAGTTTTTCAGCTAAAAAACACATTTGTTAATATAATTGTTAAGCATTTTTTTCTTTTAAAACATTCTCGATTTTGAACAAGATGTTAGAATGCATAGATGTAATGCGTTGTTGTCATTCTATTATAGTTTATTACATCACATATCATTCCAACAAATAATTTTCTTTTTTTGTAAAAGCATGGTTATCTTTTACTTTACCTCCAGCTAAATGTAATAAAACTAATGCATATAAAAGATTGTGACACTCTTCACTCTTTCTAATTCCTTGCTATCTGCCACTTTAAAATAAGATTCAAATATGTATTCATATTCTCTGCCATATGTGAATAATAATTTTTGTTCCTTTTTTAAAAAGCCTATGTCAAATAATTATGATATGATTTATTATGCTTGTAAAAATGAATGTTAGTTAGCCGCATCTTGGAATATAATGATTTGCACAAAGCTCATCATGTCAAGGAAAGGTACAACAAAAAAAGACGGCATAGTGAACCAGTTTCACTGGGAGTTCAAGGTGACGCACGTTGACACGCCTTTTTATCGCCAACAATAATTGAACTCTGAATATGAAATGTTAAAGAACTTCTTCATTGCAATAGATTGCGGGGGATAGTGTTACAAAAAAAGCCCATTCAGTCCTACACAGTGCTAAGTTTAAATTGTCCCCGGACAAGGTTAAACTGGCCTGGAACATGAGTTCAACTGACATGCTACATAGGGTTTAACTGGCCTGAAACATAGGATTTTATTAGCACCATATTTAGGATAGTGATCTGTCTAGCCAAGCTCAATCGTTTGAGACACATGATACCTTACAAACCAGTTAACAAAGCTTTGGAAATAAAGTTGATTTTGGTATGAAAACAACACCGACACCTCTACCTGGATTGAACCAAGGATACTGATGTTTAGAGGATAAGCACCTTAACCACTAAGCAACAGCAAACTAAACTAACTATAGGGTAAAAATACTGACCTGAAATACATTCACACTGCCTAGAGTCAAACTGACCTGCAATATAGGGTCTGGAAAATTATAGTCACCATGGCAGACTAAAATCTAATGTGGCCACATTAGATAAAGTTAAACTGACCTAGATTGGTTAATTAACTTAACTGGATACGGTCAAACTGACCTGGGATATATGGGCATACTTCCCTGGATAAGGTCAAACTGACCTGGAAATGGTCACAATTCCCTAGATAGGGTCAAACTGACCTGGAATGGTCACAATACTATTTCAATAGGTTCAATCTGGCTTGGAAACACAGGTAATATTAGTTGAATTGTATTTCTACTACACTTACCATCTACCTATGTTTGATGTTTTGTTAATAATTTTATCTTTCGAGCATCACCCTTTAATTCA